CAGTATATTTTACAAAAAAATAGCTTCATAGCATTAGTATCTTTGAATAATCCAGTAACTTGTAAAACTACAAATTTAAAACTGTCATACTCTGAAAACTATTGCCTTGACAAAGTCACTTTAACACTTACACTGGAGGATTAACCTCAAACCTATAAAATATTGCAAAGTTAATCTAATCAAGCAATACATTTCTAGCTACTCTGATGTTTCAGATTAATTCATAGATTCCTTGATACCATCTAAAGACTTTTAAAATGAATTTTGTTCCTAATTACATTCTTAAAAAGTAAAAAAAGAAAGACAGAAAATACATCAGAACCCTAACTTCAGGTCATTTTTTAAAAGTATCAATGTAGTCAGGGAGATAGCTCAGTAGAATAAGCATTTTTGCCTGGCAAGCACTAAGGCCTGAGTTCAATCCCTGGTTCCGCTAAATAAATAAATAAATAAATAAATAAATAAATAAATAAATGTATCAATGTCATCAAAAGCCAAAGAAACTAAGTTTTACGGTCCCTGTTTAAAATTCATTCTACACAGGTATTAAAACTCATTGGTCACCCTAATTCCTAGGCATTGGCAGTACTGTACAACGCACATTTGAAAAATATAATGCTCTAAAGTCAAACTGAAATATGGCATTGAAAGTAATTTCTTAAAACAAAAACCTGATTGAAATATTTAACATCTTATTCTTTGAACAGTTACTTTGAGTTAACAGAATGCTATGGTTTGTGTCTAGGTGCTCCCCAAAGCTTCATGCAGTCATGGGGCAGACTTCTAGAGGTTGTGATGAACTCATGATCCACTGGGATTATGGGTATGAGTGCTGCTGGGATTATGGGAGTGAGTGCTGCTGGGATTATGGGTGTGAGTGCTGCTGGGATTATGGGTGTGAGTGCTGCTGGGATTATGGGTGTGAGTACTGTAGCCAGCCTGGGGCAGATGGCCTGAATGCAATGTAAGAGAGACAGACTTCCTCTCTGTTGCCATTGTTGCTGCCTCTCCTCCCTTTTGCTCTTACTGTTTTGCTGCCTTCCGCCGCCATGAACTGCTGCCCTCTGCCATGTGCCAGTCTGCTCCGGAGCCAGCTGAGTATGGACTGAAACCTGTGTTAACTGTGAGCTAAATAAACCTTTTCTTCCTTAATTTTGAATGTCAGTTATTTGTCCCAGCAATGAGAGAGGAGTAAATGAGACACAGAATAAAAGCAGATGCTATCTGGTAAACACTACCACAAAGCTACACTCTATAAGCCTAAAGGTAAGGCAATCTGAAAATTCATTCATGTACCTTTTGCATTTTCTAATTGACTCAAAGGATATATGAATTCAAAACACTACAATAAAATTTGTGCACTTCTGGCTGAAAAAGATGAATTTCATTCCAGTGCCTGGTTTTGACCTCATCTTTTGGCACTGGTTTGGAAATTCTTCTAAGAGTGAGTGTGTGTGTCTGTGTGTGTGTGTGTGTGTGTGTGTGTGTGTGTATCCTAAATATTTTGCCCTATTAAGAGTTACCATAATTATCATATGAACATGCTACCTGGGGCTGAGGGTGTACTGCACTTTCCTCACAGACATGAGGCCCTGGGTTCAATTCCCAAGACCACAAAAAATACTAATAGTTTTTAAAATGGTACCTAACTTCTCTTCAAAAGCTGAACATTCTCATTTTTCTTGTCCTTCCACAACCATTTAAAAACTAATCATAGAACAAAAACTTTTTAAATCATCCTCAAGTAGAATGGTCTATATAAAATAACCATGATGATATCAAATACTTTTTACTATTCCATTTTCTAGGAGTGCTCTAATCTCCCATATTTCCATAACACCAGCAACTTTCACATTACCAAAGGCTGTAACAAAATTAAATTCTTTTAAAAGTCATGAAAAAGAATTGTTTCCACCAGCAAATTTTAAAACTTTTTTTTTTTTTTTTTTTTTTTCCCCACAACTGGGGATTGAACTCAGGCCCTTGCACTTGCCAGGCAAGTGCTTACTCTACTGAGCTATCTCCCCGGCCCCCTAAAACTATTTTAAAAATTACTATGCTCCTAATTTAATCAATTTCTGATTATTCTCTGCATGTTTTCAATGTTGATTCACGTTACCCAGGGATGGAGAACTTACAGGCACCGGTATGGCTGAAAGCTCTAAGCGGTTCGCCTTCGCTGCCCTACACTGCCACGCACTGTGGTCTGCACTGTGCCCAGCCTCAACAGCCCATATTACATGTGTCAAGGTCTTCTTGCTGGAGTGACAGCACTGCTGTGAGAAGGGAGGGCCTTCCAGAGGTGGACCAGAGTGAGACGTGCCAGGGGCACTGGAAGGGGACACTTGTGGGGGGCTGCAGGACCCCAGCCAGCCCCTGTCTTCTTCTGACTTCAGCTTCTCGGCCATGGTGTATGTAAGCCATTTGTTCTGCCACTTTTTCACACCACAATTGTTGCTTCACACCAGCCCCAAAGGCAAGGGGTTAACAGTTGGCACACCGAGACTTCCAAAATGTCAGGCCATAGGGAAACTTTCCTCTATATAAGTTAGTTACCTTGGGCATGTTGTTGCAGTGACAAAAGCTGATTAAGACATTACTTCACATAAGAAAGCACATAAAACCATGAGTGGCAGATGAACAATGAAATGATTCTAGTCAGTCAAGAAACATTTAAGATTTTCTATGTCCTCATCAAGATCTTTCTCTTCATTTATATTTAATGTGAACATATTAAAACCCATACTTCGGGGCTGGTGAGATGGCTCAGTGGTCTAAAGCACCTACTTGGAACAAGCTTGGCGAAGCACATGGACCGTGGTTCAATCCCCCAGCACCACATGCCAGCCAGCCCCGCCCCCTGGTGGGCTAAGCTGGCCACACACACATAAATGGATAGATAGATAAATAAATAAATTTAAAAAAATAAAATAAAACCCATACTTGGAGACACTTCTGAAATGTTTATGTAGCTGTTCTAATACATTCCCCAGTCCCAATTCTTAAACATAACAAGTCAAGGCTTTCCATCATAGCAGAATCCCAAATTTCTAAGAATGTGTCTGTATTCAAAGATCTGTGTGATTCACAGTGGGTTTTTTGTTTTGTTTTGTTTTGTTTTTTTCTTTAAAGCCAGATGCCAGCAAGTGAGGCCAAAGTAGAGCAGCTCATTATGAAAGTGCTGGCTTCCAATGGCTTGTGTGCAGGTCACCTAACTGGAATCTAGAATGGAAGCTTCCAGGGGAACAATGTCCCAAACACTGCCTCTTTTCCCAGGCCTTCCCACAAAGGAGTTTGAGAAGAAACTTAACATTAAATACTTTCAAATAAACAACACAAAGAGGCTTATGCAAAAGATACAAATTGAAGCTCTTCATTTTGCCCAATTCGTCCATCTCCTCCATATCTGCATGGAAAGTTTCCAAGCTTCCTGTAACCTAAAACTAAGCCTCCTGAGAGAAAGATCTAAAATAAACCTGCATTTCCCACTATTAGAAGCCACCCAACTGCAGCTAAAACAGTCATTTACAGTTGAACGCACAGTATGAGACTAGCATTTAGAATGCTGAATTTATGCTTTTTATGAGTCGTTGGGCTAAGGCTCAGGGGAAGGTTGCCCACCCATCACCCACAAGGACCTAGGATCCAGCACCAGCACTGTCAGAACCAAGGGTTCTAACTCACTGGTTGGAGACACACCTTGATCTCAAAATAACAGCAATGTGTGTATGTGTGTGTGTGTGTGTGTGTGCGCGCGCACGCGTGTGTGCATGTGTGCATGTGCGTGTGTGTGTGTAGGCCTACTTTGGCCACATGCTACTGCAGGTATCGATGATACGTGAAACTCCTTTGGGAGGAAGGCGAGTGTGATGAATGACACCAGGAAAGTTATGGAAGCCTCCATCTAGGAATGGAGCCAGAGGAAGCAGGGAGGTGGCCTGATGAGGGGTCCGGAGGAAAGGCCTGGGAGAAGATTCAAGGAAGAAAAATCTCCCTTGCCGGGGAGGAGGCATCCAGGAGGCCCGGGAAAGCCAACCAGCTCAGGCAGAATGGTAGCCCAGCATGGCACTGCCAGAGCGGCCAACGTGTGGACAGCCGGGCTGGAGTGCTGGAGGACCCCAGCAGGCCACAGCTGCATGGTCAGTACTGCCATCTACAGAAGCTGGAACTAAAAGGGAGTAGGCCACCCGGCTGCACCACACTGGAGCTGGGGACACAGGCATCATCTCACAACTTCCCAGCACCCACACGGCGCACAGAAGCAGAAGCAATGCCTTGGCACAGCAGTGCACACCTGTAATCCCAGCACCGAGAGCCTGGGGCAGGAGGATCTCTGCAAGCTCAAAGTTACTCTGGGTTACACAGCCAGAAAAAGAAAGAAAGAAACAAACAAACAAACAAAAAGCACCTATCCAAACATTTTCCAAGTAATACAATACAGCTTATATCACCTGAACACTTGCTTTTTCTTTCTTTTTTTTTTTTTTTTTTCTGTATTTTTTAGGGAAAGGTCTACAGGGTGTTCAGGGTCTTGGAACTAGATCAGACTCACAGTGATTCTCCTGTTTACAGCCTCGCAAGTGCTGGGACTCCAGGCGCGCGTCACCACACCTAGGCTCATCTGCTGTCTCAGAGCGCCCCGGGGGCGGGGCTGGCAGGGCAGACCTGAACAGTTTGAAGGACGACTTGGCATTCACACACCAAAGGAATCAAATATGTATTAGTACCAGGATATGACCCTTCACTGTGCCAAACTGAAAACTGAGTATGGCTCCATAGTTTTTCTGAATGAATAAGTGAATGAATGAATATTGCTTAACTGTTTTTCAAAACGATTGTTTAAACACATTCTTACTATTTGTAGGAATTTTCCCTGCACAGCTCTAGTAATTTCCCATAAAGCTCTTAGAAGCTGACAGCAAGCAGGCCGACAGGCATCTGTGTACTTCAAATACAACTCAGAATAAAACTCTGCAGTAAAAATAGCACTTAAACAGTACCTTTTTGCTGGTAATGGGAATGGACAGGAAATAGTTGGGTTGATAATTTTTGTGCTTTGTTTTCTTCTTCTTTACTTGCTTGTTCTTGATTGAGTCCTTTTCTTCTCTCCTCTTTGAATTTATCTGAGGCACATCAGTGACTAGAGGGAAGAAAGCAATGGGTTGAAACATTTCCAGCAAGATATATAGTCGGGAAAGAAAAAAAAAGCAATATATAAGTGGCAATCATTTGTAACTGTCATTTAAAAAACTGAAGCAGAGGTTGGCAAATACTTCTATAGTACATAAATATTTTAGCCTTTGCAGATCATAAGAAGCTTTATTTCAATAAAATGTTATTTATGAAGCAACTACTTTAACCCCTTATTGGGGACCCAGCTAAAAACCATTCTCTCCACATGCCACAGCTTTTCTAACTCTGGGAAACATCATTTTTTAAAACCTACTGCAATGACCTAACCTCCTCAACCAAGGCCACATACCCTATAGGCTTCACAACCTTTAGGGGACCCATGATTCAATACATTGGCTTTGGAGACTTTCAAGATTCAAACTCTAGCACTTTGGATTCAAACTTTGGGATCAGATCCAAAGGGGTCCAGAGTCAATTTCAAAGCCTTTCTATGAGTCAAAATTGGGAAAATTTGAGCATCAGACTATAACAATTTCAATGGTGTAAAGTACATCAACAGTGATTACACCACTTAGTTCATAATGACAATAAAAATTGGGCAGGAGTGACAGCTCAGTGGCCTAAGCACCTGACTAGCATGTGCAAGGCCCCGAGTTCAATCCCCAGTACCACAAAAGAAAGAAACAAATAAAAATTGTTTTCATGCTTGTCAGATTCTATCTTCCATGCTTGCTGGACTCTACTCCAGCTAGCACCCAGGCCTGGCGCATGTGTGAGACTTTCCACACTAGCTGGATTCTACTCCATCAGACAAGCCTGGTTTGGAACCTTCCAACAGAACTCCCTGCAGAGAGGCAAAGGGCAAGACCCACCCAACAAATCCAGGAGCAGAACATCTTGCCAGAGGGGCACAGCGGGACCACTTCCACAGGCTGCAGCAGAAAGAAGTGGAGCACAGCAGCCACACCCAAGGCAGGCCCACCTGGATGAGTTCAGACTTGCTAGATCTGGAAACAATAAGCTCAGACACTTTGCTAGGCCCAGATCGATGAGAGCATCCTCTCTCTTTCTCTCTTGATTGAGAGAGGGGCAACAGGTAACCTGGGCCAACCAGTCTGCCTAGAAGACCACAGGTGCAAAGGGGGAAGTGATCACACTGAACCTAGAGGAGCCAATTTAAGTACAAATTCCCAATCTAATACCTGCTTAGCTGTACACACATAAAGCTTGCTGTTAGTGTCTAAAATACAAACCCATTAGATACAAGTTTGTCAACTGTTAAATCTCACTACCCATTATTAGTTGCTAATTATAGTTCTGTAAATACAAAACTGTAACTGCATTAACCACAAAATCTCTCTTGGGTAATAATATCGGTACATGCTAAGGTAATAAATGCACCAAAGCGCCACAGCAAAGGTCAGAAGACAGTGCTTTATAAAATGCAAAGAGAAGGAGTGAAATGTATTCTCAGGCCCTGAGCCCACCCAGAAAAAATGCAGGAGACACCAGCATAGAAAAACTAGAAATCACACACCTGAAATCTCTGAAATAAAAGCATCTGAAGTAATGAAACAACTGCAGAAATCAGATCAGAATAATATCTGAAGTAAAAAAAAAGATAACTACAATAAAAGAATTACTAAGAGCTTCTAAAGAAGACACTATTTTGTTTATAAAGTTGTACCCTGCATATATTGTCCTTGGGATCATAAAATTAATTTAATATTAAAAATCAGAACCAAAAAAAAGAGGACACTGATAAAAAATACAGAAAAATAGAAAAATGATAGAATCCTTAGGAAAGAAACAGAATGCATGAAGTAGATTTAAAGAGATACACAGGAAAATAAAACCTCAATCACAAGCTGGCAAAATCGTTTGAATGAAAGTGAACATAGAGTTTCAAGCCTTGAAAACACCATTGCAGCTAGTGAAAAGGTAAGAAAGGATCTCTTTTTTTTTTTTTTTTTTTGTGGAACTGGGGATTGAACTCAGGCCCTTGGACTCTACTCCAAGGGCCTGAGTAGATACAAGAAACAACTAGGATACAAGAAAATATAATTCAACATCTTCAAGACAATGCAAAGATGAACAACCTAGACTAACAGGCATCAATGAGAAGGAACGAGTCAATACCAATGATATACAAAGAATATGGACAGAAGTAATAGCAGAAAACTCCCAAAATATGGGGAAACAATCTGACATTCAGGTAACTGAACCATATAGAACTCCAAATAACATCAACTCAATTAAAACCACACCCAGACATATAATAATCAAGGTCCCAGATATCCAACAAAAGAACAGTATACTAAAAGCCAAAAGAGAAAAGACACAGATCATATTTAAAGGAAAACCCATCAGAATAATGGCAGATTTCTCTTCACAAACCATCAAGTCAAGAAGAGCTTGAAGCAGAGTACTTCAAGTCCTCCAAGAAAAGAAATTTCAGCCCAGACAGCTATATCCTGCAAAACTCTCTTTCAAGTTTGATGAAGAAGTGAAATACTTCTATGACAAAGAACAACTAAAGAATTTCATGACAACAAAGCCAACCCTACACAAACTATGAAAAGATATTCCAGAGAGGGATCAAAATGATCACAACTCCACGAATGAAAATGAAAAGAACCCACCAAATAGGGCAAACAAACACAGGAGAAAAAGAGATATACAACAGCAGGTAAATAACATGGCAATCATAAGTCAATACATCTCAATTATAACCAACAATGTAAGTGGACTCAATTCATCAATTAAAACAAATAGACTGACAGAGTGGATTAGGAAGCAAAATCCAACAATATGCTGTATACAAGAAACACACTTGTAAAGAAATTCATAGGCTGAAAGTCAAAGGATGGAAAACACTACTACAAGCCCCAGCAACTCAGCAAAAGGCAGGAGTAGCAATCTTGTTTACAGACAGTCTGAACTTCAAACAAAGAATGATCAAACAAAATAAAGAAGGCCACTACATACTGGTTTGGGAGAAATACAAGAGGCAGAGGTAACAGTCATAAATACATATGTACCAAACACAGGAGCACCAAACTAAATAAAAAAAATCTTAATGGACATGAAAAATCTAATATCCAATACCAAAATCTTAACAGGAGACTTTAACACCCCCTTATTCATAAAGGATAGGTCAAGCAGACAAAAAATTGTAAAGAGGTAACAGAACTGAACCAGATCTTTGAACAAATGGACTTAGTGGACATATACAGAGTGTTCCACCCAAACACATCTGAATACACATTCCTTTCAGCTGCACATGGGTCATTTTCTAAAATAGACCACATACTAGTTCATAGGTCACGCTTAAGTATATGCAAGAAAACAGAAATTATCTCATGCATATAATCTGATCTCAGTGCAATGAAACTGGAAACAAATGACAAAAGAAACCACAAAACCCCATAAAAAAGTGGAAATTAAATAACACACTTATCAGAAACCAATGGGGTACAGATGAAATTAAACAAGAAATTAAACAATATCTACAATTTAATGAAAATTCAAGCACGACTTATCAGAATCTGTGGGATGCAATGAAAGCAATTTATAGAGGGTAATTAATAGCTGTGAACTCACACATTAGGAAAACACAATGGGAACAAATAAATACCCCAGTGCTACACCTCAAACATCTACAAAAAGAAGAGCAAACCAAACACAAAGCCCAAAGACGGGAGGAAATTATAAAGATTAGAGCAGAAATTGAGAAGAAAGATTTGTACTAATACTGTTTGGACAGGATATCATGTCCCCATCTTGTACTATGAATAACCACTATAAAGACAGCAATATACAATGTATTAATTATTGAAACTGTGCTATTAATCGGTTTTGAAACTGTCTCATTGTTATTCGATTCTCAAGAAAATTAATTTAAAAATAGAGCAGAAATTAATGCAATCAAGACAAAGACAATAATACAAAGAATTAACAAATCAAAAACCTGGTTCTTTGAAAGATTAAATAAAATTGAAAAACCCCTAGCTAACCTCATCAAAGAGGAAACAAAAAACTCAAATTTAAGCAATAAAGAATGAAAACGGTGAAATTACCACAGACCCTACGGAAATTCAGAAGATCATCAATAGCTATTTTGAGAATCTCCTTTCACAGAATCGAAGACACAGAAGAAATGGACAGATTCCTAGAAAGGTACAAATTACCAAGACTGAATCAAGAAGATACAAGAGGGGCTGGTGAGATACCTCAGTAGAATAAGTGCTTGCCTGGCAACCGCAAGAGCCTGAGTTCAACCCCCAGATCCAAAAAGAAAAAAAAAAAAAAAAAAA